ATATATATATATATATATATATATATATATATATATATATATATATTGGTCTATATACGACACTGCTCTTCCATGTGATCGTGCAGAATATCAGAGTCATAGGATGATCTGAGATCAAACAGATGTAAATCAATGAAAAAAAACATTGTGACAAATTACACAAAGGGAAAAACACGGTGATATTTTTGTAATTTTATGCACTATGTATATTTTTGTGGTGCATTAAGTGTTGGTGTCATGGTGTGTGGTGCACTTATGAGTGATCTGTGGTGCATTACCAAAAAGAGAAAAAAACACCGTAGGTTCAACAGACCATTGAGTGGTGCAATACTGAGTGCACCACATATCATTCAAAAGGCATCATATAGCAATCATAAGTTGTGCACTGTCGAAATATACATGGTGCAAGAAATTATCAAATTGTCACCGCATTTTTTCTCCTATTTCTCGATTTCTATCCGTCTAATCTGAACTCATCCTACGGTTCTGATATATCCACACAACTGCATGGAGAGCAGCTGTAGCATGGACATATGTGTGTGTGTGTTCATTCTCAGTAGTTTAGACAATAATATAGAGACAACACGGCTAGCAATTTGCACTATTTCACAGAAGAAATAATTATGGTAACCCAGTGTGTCTGCATGTACAGACATGTGAACTTGACTGCTAAAATGCCATATAAATGTAAACAGAAAACTCAATCTGATGAAGAATGAATCATCCAGTCACTAGATGCAAACTACAATAAGAATTCCAGTCAGAATGTACAGATATTGTTGTATAAGAACAGATGAGAAAATAGGTACTAAAATACAATGCAAGCTTTCCTTCTAATTCCGATGTCTTTAGTTGGTTATGTACTTGGAGAGCTGCAGTGTAGATAAAACATTTGACCTAGGCTTCTGAAACAACAGAGAAATCCTCATTTGAGCTCCACTCATCCAATCCTTTAGCACTCATTTCTGAGCAAATGATCTGGGCCTCCTTCGACTTTCCTTCAGCCTTAAGTCCAGAGATCAGCTCGGTACAGATACTGATGACTGGTAGAAAACCATTCTCAAACATTTCTCTATACCAGATGTATGCTCCATCAAAGTCTTTGAGCTTGCAATGCCCGCTAATCAATGTGTTATAAGTGTTAGAATTAGGAACAATTCCTCTAGTCTTCATGGTGTCAACAAGGTCCCGTGCTTCTCGACACTCTCCCTTCTTCAAGTGGCCCATAATCAAGCTATTGCAGGTCATCTTGTCAGCATGAATCCCTTGTTCTTCCATTTTATTGCAGAGAGCAAATGATTTTCCAACCTCTCCATGAAGTGCATAACAATAAATTAGCTCATTATATACAACTCTGTCAGGAGACAGATTCATCTGGTACATTTCTTGCACAATTCTCTCTACTAGCGTCAGTCCACATTCTTCCTTTTTGCATGCACTGATTAGGGGATGATACGTGCGTAAGGTAGGTCTAACACCAGCAGTTTTCATCTGTTCATACCATTCTAAACACTTGTTGGTCTCCCCGGCATCTGAATAACCAGAGATCAGACAATTATATGTGATGACATCAGGAGTTAAACCACGTTTTGGAATCTCTTGAGTTAATTCCTCAGCTTCACTTACCCGGCCCTTTTTACAGAGTCCATTTATTAATGAATTGTAAGTTACAATTGTGGGTGCAATGTCACTCCCAACCATCTCATTCAAAATCCGGAAAGCATCTTTAAAATTTGCCCTGGTGCAATGACCATCTATGACCATATTATATATTTGAGCATTTGGCTTAACCCCTCTACCAATCATATCATTGACAATCACTTCTGCCTCAAGAAGCCTACCATCCTTGCACAAATAATTTATTAGTGAACCGTATGTTACTACGTTGGGCTTCAACCCACTATTTTCCATTTCCTCAAGAATCTCAAAACACCTATCGAATTGATGACTACACCCATAACCATTTATTAAGAAGTTGTATGTCTGCACTGTTGGAGAAACTTGTCTCTCGGCCATCTTTCTAAACCATCTCTCTGCCTCTTCCATCTTGCCCAATTTACAAATCGTATTGATTAATGTGTTAAATGTGGAACAGCTTGGCTTAAATCCAAAACTTTCCATTTCTTCAAGAGTTGAAACTACCTTATCCATGTTGCCTTCCTTGCAATAGCCATTAACAATGATGCTAAATATCACCTCTGTTGGGGTAAATCCATTTTGCATCAACTTGTTCAAAATCTGCTCAGCTTTGTCCATTTTCCCATTCTTGCACATCCCATTCAACAAAATGCTGATAGTATACTCGTTAATTCGAACCCCTTTCTTCACTACTTCTTCAAACAATGCCAAAGAAGAATCAATATCAGCACACCTCAAGTGCCCATCAAAGAGTATACTAGAAGTAAATGCATCCGGAACAAATCCACAAGTCTTCATTTCCTCCAACACCTTGTTAGCTTCCTCCATCCTCCCCATCTTACAAAGCCCACTAAGCAAAGTGTTAAATGTGATCTCGTTCGGCTTTACATTTTCATTCCTCATCTTTTCCCTCACATTAAAAGCCTCTTCCAAGTTCCCAACTTTACAGTACCCATCAATGAGAATATTAAAAGTCACCTTAGTCCGTGTCACTCTTCTCTCAAGCATTTCATCAAACAGCTTCCGGGCTTCACTGACCCTCCTCTCTTTACACAATCCCCCCATAACCACATTGTAAACGAAGGCATCCATACGCAACCCAGACTTTCTCATGAAATCCATCAATTGGAGAGCCCTTCTCAAGTCCCCCAACTTCACGGCTGATTGTATAGCTATACTATAGCTATTGCTATCGATCTGCATATTGGCATTCACCGCATCCGAAAACACTTCGAGGGCCTTTCCGTACTGTCTTGAACTGTTCAGCATTTCAAGAAACACTTTGATACCAGACAAAGTAGGGAACTTACCGTCTTTTCTCATCAATGAATATAGCTCACTTGCTTTATCAAGAAGCTTGGAGTCAACATAGACAGAGAAAAGCATGTCAGCAAAGAGGGGCTTCATCGGTGAAGGTACGGGGGCGCAGAAGGAACTGTAAAGCTCGGAGACAGAGTTCGATTGGGCAAGATTGGCAATGTAACTCTTCGCACTATCGCTCCGGTTCTGTTGCAGGAGGATTCGGAGCTTCCGCAGCTCTTCTTGGAGATTTTTGTTGGCAGAATCGGCAGTGGTGGAGGGTTTTCCTTCATTTTGGGAGCTGGTGGAGGGCGGCACCCGGGAGCAGATTAACCTGCTGCTATGGGTGATACGGCTGCTGAGGAGCTTGGTAGCAAGGGCGGATCTAGAAATTCTTGAGTGGGGTGAAGTTCAAATGAATTCAAAAATGTCCATGACAAATTATCAAACACCGATAATATGATTCAAATATAAAATACATTATAAATTCCAATACAATGTTTATCATTAATCAATCCTGCTACATTACATTTACTAATTCAAACTTCAAGCAGTGGACCAACTAATAACATATTGAAATTTGAAATTTTGGAATCAATAGCATACAACATACTGGAATAGTGGACTAATCATTAAACCAATAAACCATATGGAATTATGGATTATGGAGTACTTAATTTACAGATAATATACACAAAATACAGACAATTTACACAGAATAATATTTTTGGGGCTATATGTGTATATACAGCATACTGACACCGGAATAGTAGACTGATAATTAAACCAGAAATTACAGAATACAGACAATATACACAAAATAATTTTCTTTGGGATGTATGTGTATATATACAGCATACTGATAAATCATATGGATTATGGACAATATACACAGAATACATTTTTTAAAAAAAGGGTTGAAGATGGAAGTTTTAGGGAATTAGGATTTATCGAATTAGGGCTAACTAATTACGAGAATAAGGTTGCAGATTGGTTCTAACCTGAGCATTTGAAAGTTGTTGCCGACTTGCCGGTCACTGGAGACGGAGTGCCGGACGGATGGACGACGGTGGAGCAATGGGCTAAGGTGTAGAGAGAATATGGAAGTGCTGGGTGTGGCGAGTGGCTGCGACCTGCGTGGATAGTGGGCTGTAGCAGTGGCGATGCAACGAGTGATGCACGGAAGAGCCCCTGGAAGTGAAGGTTGAAGATGATTGAAAATGGAAGTCCCGCAAGTCGCGTGGAGGCCTGGAACTCAATATATAGCCCCAAAACGACGGGCTGTATAATTTTTGGCAGTGGAGGCATGCCAGACCCGCCTTTGCTTGGTGGGAAGAATACGTTTCGCCATCATTGTAGGGATTTATGGAATTCGGAGCTTTGCTATCAAATCCCGAATGCCCGGGCACGCTAAAATTGATTGCAACTCTTCCAGCAGCGCCGCCCGAGACGGAGAGGCGACTCGCAGTGTCGCCTGAAACAGTGACGACTGACGAGAAGTGAAGACTACGGCTGCCTAGTGAGTAGTGACGGCAATGTTTCCGGATGCGACTCAGTTTGATTGCATTAGTGAACTCAAGAAACCGGCAAATTTTACATTGTATCATGTTCCAAAACGGTGTCACGACACCAGCCTAATTAATTTTGTTTTTTATAGTTATTTTATTTTAACTACAGTTTTATTTGACCATTATACATCAAATAATCTTATTAAGTGAGACCTGTAATCTTATTACAACACCACTGTTATTTAATTTTTTTTATACATACTGTAATTTCATTTTAAAAAAATTAAAATATTATTTTAAATCAATTAAAATTTTAATTAACAATATACACTCAATATGTGAAACATATTATTCACTTTCATTCCAACACAAATTATTCAATTCCATTTTAGATAATAATTCGATTTTATTCTGAACACGTCAAATTTGTTAAAATTTAGCAGTTACAGTTTCTTTTGGCGCCGTTTTCGAATCACGGCAAAAAAAAAACAAAAAACATTGTTTGAAATAAACTAATACGGAACAAAAAAGAACTTAGTAGAATAGTAGGGAACAAAATTGTCAACATAACTGTATTAATATACAAGACAAAAACATCATGCAAAAACAAAGAGTAATTAACTTGATACCTGCTGCTACAACCAAAAAAATGTCGCAATTTGATTAAGATTTACAAAAGGCATGGAGTGTTTGGTCTAATGCTTTTTTGTCGTAGTCACCTGTGAATACACAATTGCCCAGAGGACCTTTCAAAAGGATGAGTCTGAGCTTCCCATCAGCCACTTTCTTATCAACCTGCCACCCATTTTAATTAACACAATCATACATAAGCTTGAGATTATATATTAACAACAGTGGTGGCCAAACAGTTTAATTAATTCGATCTTACCGCCATGATGGACTTGAACATCTCGACGGTCATGGTCTCTGGAGGCGCAGTCGGTAGCAGCTTTGTCTGTTGAAGGATCTTATCCACCCTCTGTACCAGTGAATCATCAATCCATCCAAGGCGGCGTGACATATCAACAGCCATAACCTGAAATAACTAACTAACCACTTAGTTTTCATGATCTATGATCTAAAAGATGAAATGAAATATATATGCCAATTTCACAAATAAAGTACATTTTTTGTGGTTCCTTTTCTATTTTCTGATTTGGGGTTGGATCACATGCAGCAGATAATATAAACTCAACGGCAAAAGATAAATAGAGAGTAAATGAAAGAAGTAATGATAATACCGTTCCAGCCGCAACGGCTTCTCCATGCAGCCACTCTCCATAGCCAAAACCAGTCTCTATTGCCTGCAAAAATGTAGGAATTATAATTATTGCTAAAGATTACTACAAGTTTCAACTTCAATTTTCTGGTCGGAAATGAACTTAATTAGTAAAGTGCTAATCTTCCAACCAAGGATATAATAGTGCAGTTTTTCAGGCAATCATCAAATTTCATTTCATATTTGAAAAGAAATGAGGAGCATCATATCATGGGAGATAACTACATCAAACTAAGCTCATACACCGTATATAGTAATAGTAAATAATAAGCAGCAAAAATGAAATCAATTTGGAAGCGTAATAGTATAGGAAGTCCCTCTTTCCAACAAACGAGAGTATCACCACAAGAATGCCAAGAACTTACATGGCCAAAGGTGTGACCCAAGTTCAAAGTGGCCCTCAATCCACTCTCTTTCTCATCCAAGGACACAACCTCTGCCTTGTTTTCACAGGAACGCTTTATGGCGTAAGCAAATGCTTCAGGGTCCCTGCAACAACAAAATTTCTTATGGATACGGACAATGTTACATTATAATATATCATCAAGACATCATCATCATCGTTACAACATAAAAGAGATCACCATATCCTATTTTATGCCTGAAAAATGCAATTTAATGCTCATAGAGACAAGAAATCGCATGTTTTCAAGAAGATTGTTGTTGATTTGACTTGCTACTTTATAAAGAATTGGTAAGTGTTTGATGATTAATGAAGTGCTTGCAAAAGGAAAACAGAATCGATCAATCATAGACAAAAAATCACTAAACTCACCTTGCTAGCAATGCTGACATATTATTCTCTTGCCACTCGAAAAACTCCGCATCTCTAATAAGTCCATATTTTATAACTTCAGCAAGGCCAGATGCTAGTTCTCGGTCTGGCAGTGTATTCAGGGTGTCTGTGTCTACAAGCACACATTGAGGTTGGTAGAAGGCACCGATCATATTCTTACCAAGCGGGTGGTTAATTCCAGTTTTCCCTCCAACAGAAGAGTCTACCTAAAGGAACATAAAGAATACAAAATAAAAATTGTTAGGTATCATAGACAATACACTTCCCCAGTTGCTAGCCTCATATACAATTAGTTAGATTCAAAAGAGGGAAACTCATCGTACCTGTGCCATAACAGTCGTAGGAATCTGAATAAAATTAACTCCCCGGAGATAAGAAGCAGCAGCATATCCACACATATCACCAATAACTCCACCACCGAGAGCAACAAATGTACACCGTCGGTCCAATCGTGATTCAATAGCTTTATCAAAAACTTTCATGAGAGTTTCCTGCAAAAAACACCAATAAAATCATAATCACAACAGTTTTTATTTTGTTTTTTTTTTCCTCTTGAAATTCATATATCAAGGCCTCAGGATACCTACCATGTTCTTAAATTTCTCTCCATCTGGCAAGATCACAGTTTCAACACTAACATTAGGATTTCCATCTGTTAAAGCACTGATAGTTTTGTCCAGATATAATGGAGCTACTGTAGTATTTGTGACTATAAGAACTTTCTTGCCATGAATATGCCTGTAATGTAATAAAGCAGGAAAAGATTGTGATCCTAAAATTAATGATAAAAACTAGCTACATCGTGAAGGAAACAAACAAACAAACACTTAGGCATACCGAGAATCAACGTAGAGTAATTAAAAAATAAAACAGAGCTTTAGATGGATTAACTAAAATTCAATCAGAGAAACACCATAGAAGAAGAAGAGTAAAGAGTTACCTCTGAAGAAGCTCGGGTTGATGAAGAAGACCAGAGCCGATGTAAATCGGGTAGCTCCGGTCACCCAAATCAACCTCAACAACCGTGGGGACGGGAGAAGATGCTTTACTCTGAGGAGACTGATCTATCACGGGAACCGCGGAGCTTGCAAACACCTTTAGTCGGTTGGGAGCATTAGACTCCAAACGGCACCGAGAAGGAAGAGCGGCGGAGGCAGGTGCAGGGAGGCGCACGGCGAAGTCACGTAGGGTGGCTTTGTGGTGGGAGTGTGTGGAGAAGGCGGGATTGGGTGGGCAGAAACAGGAAGACGCCATAGGAAGAGAGAGAAAGAAAGGTGGGTTGGTCGCGATGAAGGTGGAAATGAAGATTTAACATTGTAGGAATTTTAGGTGGAGAATACATAAGAAGATGGGTTGGTAGGTGGAGTGAGAAGGATTTGCGATTTGGGAAAATGGTTTCTGGCACGAGTTCTTCAAGGCCCTACATACCTACTTTATTTCATTTCTGCAGCCTCAAACACGTGCTCAATTCAATTATTTAAGGATTGAATCTACAGGTGTTTGGTTAAATATTTTTTTTGAGCTTTATTATTGGATTGAAATCCCAATTTTTGTTTGCTTGTCTGTGTATTTTAATAGGTCAGAATAACATTTAAACTTGTTGGATCTCAATTTGTCTAATTATATACGATTTTGTAGTGTTTTTTTCCCTATTGAAAGGAGAATACCAGGACTATGTGGTATAATGGTACTCGGGTTGGACTTCCATTTGGAAGGTTATGAGTTCAAGCTTCAATGGAGGTGTTAATGGCTCTTTGTGTTTCAGTAGGTTGAGAAAGTATATGAACAGAGGTATTATTGGCTCTTTGTTTTTCAGTAGGTTGAGAAAGTATATGAACAGAATATGATACTAAACTCTACTAACGCCATGGCACATATTTAGTTGTAGTAAATTCTAACCCAAACCTATATTGCCACTTCCCATGTCTAACGAAACGTTAAAGTTGCCCATACTTGTTGAACAACATGCAGCCTATCCACGCTTCCTTCCTCCATTTCTCATGTCTAACGTTAAAGTTGCCCACACTTGTTGTTCAACAAGTGGCCTATCCACGCTTCCTTCCTCCATCCCGTTAGCATCTCTCCACCCATGCAAAACATTAGCGGCTATAAGAACCACCGTTTCCACACAAGTTGCTTTGTCGTTCCAAACCACATCATTTCTATGCGTCCAAAGACTCCAACATGTCATAGTAAATAAACACAATCACACGGGCTTAACTCACTGGCCACATCGTTTCTATGCGTCCAAAGACTCCAACATGTCATAGTAAATAAACACAATCACACGGGCTTAACTCACTGGTTCAATAAGTAGTATTATAGGGAATAGATCAATGTTCAAAACTCGACAACGGCAGTGTGGGGTTATGCCCAAAGTAGACAGATCCATGTGCGGTGGGGCGTTTGACCATGTATGCTGAGCCACCGAGTTATTGTGATATACATTATCCCAAATACTCTGTCAAGGTAGAGTGTGAGGGACCTTTAGGGGTGAGGATTCAACCTTTTCGGAAGGAAATAAACACAACTGCTCCATCACCAACTTATCAAACACACCACTACACTCCCATAACGAACGTCTCATGCTCTCATATCATCATTACAAGCCCCAGTCTCACCCGACACCCTCTCGCTACCAAATAATTAAAAAAAAAAAAAAAAAAAAAAAAAAAAAAAAAAACTATGAAGCAACCACTCATCACCATAATGGCAAGGCGCACACACCCTTGCACACGACACCCCTTCACTCTCAACACATATGCCCTACGCAAACATTGAACGCAAGATTTCTTGGAGAAACACTTAACCTTATGAGGTAGTTTAAAGCTCCACATGTTAGCCCACAATGTACATCCCTCCCCCATTTGATCACGACCAACTATAACAACTCTTCACATTGTACCTCCTATGTTCTATGGAGCCCAAAACACCACACTCCCAAGCACTTAAAAGGAATATGTAAAATCAACTCAACATCCCGAGCGCATAAATATCTAAGATAACACCAGTATCCCAAGCATTATTGTTACTACACAACAGACTGCTCACCCTTGTCCCATCCAAATGAAATAACAGATAACATCTCAGTCCAACCTCACATCTCCCCAAACCATAATGTCATTCCCATCCCCCACCTTCCAACAACTTTCCTTAGGATGCCTCCTTTATCACATCTCTAGCCTCTCACACTTCTCAAACCAAAGGATGAGTTGTTTATAGAAAGGGCGTTTGGAACATATTTGTCATTAAAGATTTTTATCACCAACAACTCGGGATGTTTCATCAACCTCCATCATTGTTTGCTTAGCATGGCAATATTGAGCTCCCTTATCATTTTGAAACCCACCCACCCCCTTCCTTTTTAGGCTTACATACCCTCTCTCACTTCATCCACCGAATTCCATTCCTTCCATGTCCTAAACTCCCCACCATAGCCCATTCATAATGCCCTTCACTTCCCTCCGTAAATTATACGGCATAAAAAAATATATTCATAGTGTACGTAGGGAGAGCTTGGATTACGGTATTTAGTAAAACTTCCCAACTAGCTCTCGAGAGAAATCTATTATTCCATTTGTTAATCCGAGCTAAGATACATCCACTAATGAAACCCACAACTTCTCTCTTCCTTTTTCCCTATCAACAAAGGAAGTCCTAAGTACCGTCCGGTACTATCTGACATATGCACCCTCATAACCTCTCTCACAACTTGCTTATATGCACGGTTAACATTTACCACTAAACGTCATATATAGAGGACTTCTCAAAATTTACTTCTTTGCCCAGAGGCAGTCACATACTCCAGTAGAATTTCAACCACCACCCTAGCCTCAAGAGAGTTTGTCCTAACAAAATATGAGATAGTCGAGGAGCCCCTAGACACTGCAACTCCATAAAAAGCCATAAGCAATTCCTACCTAGGCATTGTCGTACTCAACCCTTCAACGACCGTGATAAATAAGTAAGGTGATAACCGGTTGCCCTGCCTCAACCCCCTCTACAAACACATTGTACTTTACCTTCCTACATACCTCATGATGAACCTCACCCATCTCCCGCTAAACCCAAGCCTCATATGGGTTTAATTTAATAATAATTTTTAATTAATGAATAATGTGCATATACTTTAATATAATTTTCTTATTTGAAAATTTTAAATCTATTTTTTAAAAATAAATGTTCACTTTTTTTTTTTATTGCTACTAGTTCTATTACATCGTATTAAAAAATGTCCACTTTTTTGTTTATAAAAGAGTTGTGTTTTTCATTTGTATCTTATTTGATGTGAAATATATGCATCATTTGTTTATTGTCAACAAAACATTTCCATTTCATTTATTATGATATCAATATTAAAATCTAATTATAATATTTTTTCTCAAAAAAAAAGTAATTATAATAGAGGAGATTATAAGAAAAACTAATTGCATTTGCTAAAAGCTCAAAACTTCTTTTTTTTTTCTAGGAACACAATACCTACTATGTTCAATCAATTATTTTTAAAATTTATATTACATCTGTCCCATTTTGCCTGTTTTGTTTACTATTCATTGGTCAAACCAAATCTTCCTTCATTGTTTTTTTTTTAATAATTTTATTATTTTTAAATTTGATTTTGTTTTTGTGTTTAATAGTACATTTAATGTAGTTTCTAAATATATAAATTTCATATACTAATACTAAACTTAATATTATGAACAATTGAATTAAAAATAATTTCAAGCATAGTTAATCGAACCAGACAAACAAAATAGAACGGAGTGAATAATATATAATAATATTTCTTATCATCAAAAATTAAAATTATATTTTATAGTATTTATTTATAGGGGTATATTTATTTTTTAAATTTATTTTAATAATTTAATTTTACTAACTTTTTATTATTCATGGTGCATTATGTAATCAATCACGTTTGTTTACAAGAATTACAACTAGTGCATCTGTGGATGTATAAAGTGTTGCACTTAAAAATTAGAAGTGCATAAACAAATAGAGGGGTACATTCAGAAATACTAGTAAAACAGAGGGGGGAAAACGGATATCCATGAACCGGGTCCGTATACAGTCGGTTCAACTGCCCTTGGCGGGCAAGGTCTCCGACCCAAATACGGAGTAACAAACTCTTCAAAGTCTCCTTTTTCATTGTTCCTTTCTTCAATCTATCGGATTGCAGTACCAGAAGCTTCCTCCATCGAATCCACCAGTATTTTATCCAGGATCATCGAACCCTAACCCTAGAACCTGATCGATTGATCGATTGATCTCCGTAAAGATCAAATCATTCTTCGGAAAATCCAATCGGAAAGCGCTACAATATGCATCGCGGCGACGTCGGAGGCTCTTCCTATGATCCACAGTACTATCCTCCCCACTATCAAAACCCTAACCTTATATCTGCGCCAACCGATCCTCAGTATGCCCACGCCACCGCCCCATACGCATCGGCTCCGCCGGTTTCATCAGGTTATGCTTCCTCCGATTACTCCAGTTATCCCTCTAATTACCCTCCGTATCCCCAGAATTCCGATCACGTCCCTAGTCAACCACCTCCGTATTCAAACACCTTCCCTCACCTCGAGGCTCAGCAACCGGGGGCTTACTATACCTACGATCAGAATCAGAATCAAAATCAATCTGGCTTGAGTTATGATTATTTGGCAGCTGGTGCTAATTATAATCCGCCGAACCCTAATTACAGTTCAGCTTCGTTTTCGTCAGCTCCGCATCTCTCGAGCTCGTATGGGAGCTCCGGTGGGTCGAATTTTGGGAATTCGGTTGAGAGTAATGTGAATTATAGTGGCTATGCCGACCAGGGGTTGTATGATAGTGGTGTTTATAAATATAATGGAGGAAAAGCGGATACATATGGTGGTAGTGGCGGTAGTAGATCGGAGCCATCCAGTGAAGTGTTATTTGATGATTATGGACGCCCTATTAATATTCCAGGTGGGAAGGAACAGAAGGGCTCTGGGAGTTTTCCTAAAATTGTCAAAGCGGTGCCAAAGGTTGAGGAACATGAGGATCCTAAGGGTGGCGTGCTAAAGTTCCGTGTCAAGCTCTTATCAGAAGGCTATGGCCAAACTGACATGGATGTGCTATGTCAGGTTCGTGAATGTTATAATAATGCATTATTGATATTTGCATTTGCGTGAATAGCTAGAATTTTGAATATGTCAAATCTGCTGCTCTGTGATGATTTATAAATGTTCTCTATGTTTGTCTGATAATCTTGAAATTCACTATTCATAAGCACTTAGTGCTGGGTTTGTGATATTGTTTCAGATTGGACTGGATGGGATTAGAATACTTGAGCCTGCTACAAGCAGAACTCTAAAGATATATCCACTTGACGATGTGGCAAGATGGGAGGTAAATTAGTCTGTAGGTTCTATGAAATTATGATTTTATTTCCCTGCATGTTACCAAGAAGATAAAATTTTGCATTTATATTTTTAATAGGTATTGGATTCATATATATTTGCATTTTGGACCAAAAGCTCAGTTGACACTGAACCTAAACGAATCAGGCTTAAATCAAACAGCTATACCACAAACAATATCCTGGATGCCGTGACAGCAGCAAGTATTCAGGTTAAATGATCTCCTCTTTATTTATTTTGGGACAATTAAAAGTTAAACTGCTCAACATTTAGATCTCCGTTCCTTCTTTTTCTCCCAAGAATTGATACCTATTACTATGCCTGTGTATATGCCTTCCTGAATTAGTTATAGTTTAAATCTATTTTATTAGTGAATGCTGATATGCTGATGTTATGGTCCAGTTTTTTCTCCATTTGTATGCCTCTGTCTATCATCAATTTGCCTTTCTACTTATGTGTGTTCTGTTTTGTTTGTTTTGGGGTTTAACCTGTTACCAATTAATTACAGGTTCCCTGGTTTGGCTAAATGTCCATCCTGTTTACTTCTTTACATGAGTAATTTATCTATTTCTTATTTTTCTGATACATAACTTGAAGCCTGTGTATGATATAACAGGTCAAGGAAATGGGTGAAACTAATAGACCTTCAGATCTTACCAGAAGTGGATCTGAGCAACTTGCAGACAGGAAGAAAGGTTTTACTGATTGGATGAAAATAATGAAGCCACAAAATGAAGAGAAAGATCACTGGGTAGAATTTTGACCATTATATTGATTTCAATGATTGTTCTTTTCTTTTAAACTACTAATATTAATATTAATTCATGTTAGATTTTTTTTATTAAATTTTATCTTGGGCAAACTATTGAAAGCTTTTCCTTGAATAGGTTCCTGATGAAGCAGTCACCAAGTGCAATAATTGTAAGTGCGACTTCAATGCGTTTGTCAGAAGGGTGAGCATTAGTTAACATAATTGTTGTTGTAAGGATAAAATTCAAATCTTCTCTATTGCAAATTATGAATCTCATATTTGCAAATGTATGTGGACAGCATCACTGCAGGAATTGTGGGGATATCTTCTGTGACAAGTGCACACAAGGTAGAATTGCTCTTACAGCAGATGAGAATGCTCAACAAGTTCGAGTGTGCGATCAGTGCATGGTATGTATGTGGTAGATTGAATCTTTTCCAAACCACTATAGGGATGTCAGTCATTCTGTTTTGTGTTTCATAAGTACCTTCCCATCTTTGAAAACACACTACTTTTTTTGTCTCTCCTGTCTGAGGATTGATGCATTATTTCAAATGACCAATTGGATTTCGAAGTGTTCCTTTTCTTGACTTTGTTCATAATTCATAATATAGTAGTTTGTTGACAACTTCATTGACTTGTTACATTACAGGCAGAGGTGACTCAGAGGTTAAGCAATGCAAAAGAAGCTGCTCAAAGGATTGGTGGATTACAGAGCCATGAGGATCTTGCAAGAAAACTTAAAGTAAATATACAAAACCTTTTTATTCTTCGTACATAATATAACCCATATTTATGCTTCATGGATCCCCCTTTTCTATTTAAGAGTTAAGAAACATACCTTGATTGATGAATGATAAGCTGATGATTAAAAACATTGAACAGAAATGTAAAGTTGTGCTGTCTTCTAGATCTCTATCCCATTAATGATAAAACTTTTGGTAGATCAAGTGCTTATATAACTGAACTTCTAAACCAGGGAAATACTGGTGCCCTGGTGGAGAAATTGTACTCTAGCAGCTATATTGAACTTCTAGTCTATACATCTATGCCTTTTGTAGTTTTGTTTAATCTGAGATGACAACACCTGCTGCACTGCAATCAAAAGTTCATGTGAATTCAGAAAACCAAATTATAATAGGTCTGCAGTGCCATGTTTGCTGAATTGGTCCTAGTAGAAGCTAAATGTAGTCTTATGCATGGCCAGCTTCCAAGGGGTGTACTTTCATCCCCTCCAGCTGCATCCTTGGCTAACAGATTCAACAATTAGAGAAATCCTGTTATGATGCTTTTACTTGTTTTTCTTGCGTATATTTGGTTCCTATGTGTGAGCAAATTGTGTCCTTTATTCTACTGATTCATCTTGTTGACGTTGTTTTGAACAGGAGGAGATGAGTAAAAATCGCAAGACAACAGGTAGGAACCATCATTCTGTTAATCTTTTGCTGATTTTATCTATATACTCGTATTAATTTCCAGCAAGAGTCTGTTGATAGAATCCATAGTTTTGAGAAGTAATATGCATGACTTGACTGGGAGGGCATGGCATGCTTGCTAACTGGCTAAATATTGTTTTCAGGCAAGAGTTCTGAGGGATCTGGGAGGATGAGAGAGGTTGCCTGTCCTATTTGCACAGTCCATTTACAGGTGAGTTAGTGTAGCCACTCTGACTTTCATCTTCTTCTTTACTTACTGTGCATAGTATAGAAAAGCTTTTCTCCTTTGAACTTAAATTTTCTACTTACCATGGATGGATACAACAGGTTCAAGTCCCAGCTTCTGGATCTGAAACCATAGAGTGCAGCGTGTGCCAGCATCCTTTCCTTGTTAGTGCTCATTGAGTTTTGCTTCATTCATATATCTATTTTGATTTGTCCATATATTTGTGTGGATCAGAGATGTAAGGATTAGAATTGTGTATCCATTCTCTTGGAATAATGATATCTCCCACTGTAGATATACTATCTATAATTGTTTTAATGCGTATATGTTGCAATACCTGTTTCTGATAATTATTTATTTGTATTATAAGTTTATTACGCCGCAGTATACATATATATGTATGATTCTTAGCCGCCGCCGCTGCTGTTTTTTTTTTTTTTTTTTTTTTTTTTTTTTTTTTAATAACGAGGAAACCTCACAACCCTCTTGGCTGGATTACCCCTAACTGCTTTTGTTTCTATGATAGGATTTGAACTTATGACTCATCAGGCCGATATGAGATATATCAAACTTCTATGATTATCAAATTATGTACACCAATAATATTATCTTTAATTAGAGAAACAAAGAAAATACCCCTTCCATACAGCATACTCGGAAATATTCCAAAATGAGGCTTTGACTCCAATTTTAATCTTACTTTAAGCCTTTAATGTCCTTTAAAAAAATCCGAGTACATAAACTTGTATAAATTTGAAGAGCAGACCGGTCATATATTTAGTACTCCGTAATAAACAATAGAAAATTTCAATAAAGGAATCCCATGTCCTTTCATCGCCGAAGTAAAAAAATTTATCGCTAGAGTAAAGAATTTTATTGTCAATGTAAAAGAGATGTGGCTATTTTTGTGTCAGTTTTTTTTTTTTTTTTTTTTTTTATTTTTTAATTTCAATTTAACATAAAATGTCACATTATGAGTGAAAGTGCGTTAACGTAGGAGTGTGTAGCAAAGTCCATAAATATTTCAGAGATAATACACAAAAACTTGTTTTAATATTTGTCACTATAATGCCTAAATATGTTAAAGCAAGATTAGTCAGATAAGATTATTTTTTAAAACATAAAGTTGCCACCGGCCCATCACCTAATAACACTGACAAGACCAACTAAAACATTGAGAGTGATATTCTTTGCATGATATATTGATATAATATGACAAGTTTGCAACCACAAAGAATATATTGTTCTGTTATCAATTAATTCCTTTGGCTGTTTAACAAAACAAAAACAAAAAAAATCATTTGGCAAGAATTTCTTAGTGTGTTTTTGTTATATCACATCTATATAAATATATACAACAACATAACAATTAATTAGTATTATTTGAGAATTGATGAGTTTACAATGGAGTTAGTTGAAGAAAAAGTCAGGCTACTTTTATATCAAAATTTGACCCTTAGTGGGCGTTTGGTTAACGGAATCTTAGATTATCCCAGGTAATAGGATTACCTTCAGAAAAGTAATGTGAGATTTTGAGAATGTAAGATTACCTGATGTGTTTGGTTTGGATTGTGTAATATAATATTACCTTGTTTGGTTAAAGGTTATATTTTATGTTATATGGATCAATTTACTATAATGTCCTCAATATATATATATATATATATATCTGTGTGTGTGTGTGTTTATTTATTTATATGAATGTATATCAATACTTAAATATTAAAAAAAAAACTAAATATATAAATATACACACATGTATATTTGATTATATAAACATATTATTATTATTATTATTAGTTAACAAGGGCAAAGTTGGAATAATTCAAGGTAATCTAAGATTATCTAAGAAAGCGGGGTAATCACATTATCTTGAAACATTACCGCCACATCAAATTTCAGGTAATATAACATTACCAGGTAATCTCATAACTTGAACCAAACAAGGTAATATAACATCATCAGCAAACGGCCCCTTAATGTAGAGTGTGAATTAAATTTTAATAGATCACTTGACTTTAAATCACTATTCTAATGGTAGGATGAGAAAGAATTAAATAGAGAAGTGCATATGGGGCTCGCCCCCATGACTTTTAGCATAATATCCATAGAATCCACCAACTAGGCTAAATCAAATTTTAATTTCTTAGACGTATATTAAATACTTATACAAAAAATCTATAGTGTGTGTATGTGTGTATATATATAAGGTGATGGGCTGGGGTGTTGGGACTTGGACAAGGGTCCAACCCGTCCTTACTAGGGGTGTGCAAATTTCGGAGAAATTTCGGTTAACCGACCGAACCGACATAATTCGGTTAACCGTTTTTTAACCGAAATATTTCGGTTCGGAGAATGGTTAAAGGTTTTCCCAAAATTCGGTTAACGGTTAATTCAGTTCGAAAGTGTCGGTTAACCGAATTAACCGAACGGTTAACCGAATTTTGGAATATATATATATATATATATATATATATATATATATATATATATATGTATGTATATAATATATTAAATATTAAATATAAATATATAATATGTACTAAAATTCCAAATAGTCAAATGGATTATGGACTTATGGTATTATTTTTGTATGTTTTGATATGAATTTATTATGATATGTATTTTATTTTAATTGAATTTATTATTTTAGGAGTTATTTTTAGGATTTTCAATTTTAGGGTTAAAAATTTCGGTTAATCGGTTAACCGACCGATTAACCGAAAAAAAGTTCGGTTCGGTTAATTCGGTAGAGCGCATTTCGGTTCGGTTAATGGTTAAGGCAAAAAAAATTTCGATTAATTCGGTTCGGTTAAAACGGTTCGGTTAACCGAATGAACACCCCTAGTCCTTACCCAAGGCTGGACATGGTAGAGTCAATGACATGGACTAACTGGGAAACAATTTGGGCAACTGGCGATTTATCTTCTCCAGCGACTTTTGAGCAAGAGTTCTGAAAACTAAAAATTAGTCTAATGTAAGCTGAGAAATCTAATGTATAAAAAATGAGTAAATACCCCAAATGGTCCCTCGACTATAGTTAAATTTACAAATTGGTCCTCAACTTTCAATTTCAACCAATTAAGTCCTTAACTTTGTAATTTTAACATAATTTGGTCCTATGTCTATTTGACCGTTTGTTGACTGTGTTTTTTAGGATATATATGTAATTTCATGGTCCATCGTCGGTTTTTTAAGGTTCTGGTTGCATTTCCAGACCGCACTATTACATTTTAATCCAGTGTCGAAAGCAATCTACCAAATCCGGTCGCCTTTCTTCATCATCCCTTTGGATTTAATGTAGTTGAGTTCGTACCAGAGCGAAGAAGACGACGTGTTTCCGAACCAGTGCAACGTCATCCTGGAGGCATCCACGTGCTCCGACGAGAGCTGAAGGTTCTTCTGGAGATCGTCGATCACGGTCAACAAACGGTCAAATAGATGGAGGACCAAATCGTGTTAAAATTACAAAGTTAAGGACTTAATTGGTTGAAATTGAAAGTCGAGAACCAATTTGTGAATTTAGCTATAGTCGAGGGACCATTTTGGGTATTTACTCTAAAAAAATAATAAATAAATAAAGTAGTTTGCCGGGTAGCAGCTCATATTTGCAACTTCATTTTGTTTTGTAGTGACAAAAACCACCTTGCACCAAACTACTTTATTTCTCACCAGCCTGCCTTCTTATTTTACTTCTAACAAAATCCCTTTCCAGCTTCATTTTTTGAAGAAGGCTGGCATGCATGCTGTTGTTGGAAATCTTTCGACCTATATATTCAACAAATGAAAATTTTTCCTTTCTCGAAAAGTTCATTTATTAAAAAAAAAAAAAAAAAAAAAAAAAAAGAAGCAAAACTTTTCTCTTTCTAACATTGTTAAATCAAGTTGGAAAGCATTTTCGTTTTCTATTTCAAATGAAACAAATAAGAGGGTCGTCCTAACACTTGTTCAAAGACATGTCAACTTAATTAGCATCTGGAGTTTTATGTCCATTGCACGCATGTATAAATTAATATGAAATATCTTAGTCACTTTTTTTTTTTTTCTTAATTTAGTAGATACCAATTAATTTTGCTAGAGTAATCATAAACTTACAGAATTCTTAAAGCTACTATAGAGATAAATTGCGAGTCGCGCAATCGACCGTCTGACAAATCTTTGTCCGTTTGACGAGTCGAGTTAAGATAAAATGTAATCCTTACACTAGCAAATGTAATTCCAAATCAAGAATAAAATGTTTATTACTATATGAGGAAATTGTAATACTTTTACATTTTAATGTAAAAATATTACATTTTCCTTTGTAACTTGTAAGTGCAACATTATTTATAAGGGAAAATATACTCGTAATACTTTTGATGAAAAATGTAATACTTTTACATTAAAATATAAAAGTATTAAATTTGTCCACAAAAGTATTATGTTTTCTCTTATAAGTAACAAATATTTTATTCCTGATTTAGTCTTACATTTGCTAGTATAAGTATTACATTTGCATATTTACACGATCTGACCCGTATAATGAATAAAGATTTGTGAGACAATCTTTACACAAGTGTGACCCATTTAGAAACTAAATTAAGAGTACTATTAAATTTAAAATAATTTTTAAAAATAAATAATGAAGAAATAACTAGTTTGATTAATAAATAGTAAATAAGATAAATAAAATGAGAATTATTTAGAATTTAGAAGTAAAACAAATATATGTATCTCATATGGGTCAGAAGGCCGACAAAAAGACATCTTTATATGAATGAGCTCCGGGAAATTAAAATGGACAGCGACGCATTGTTGATTAACAACTAATTTCTGGAAAACGACGCATTAATTGTCATTAAGACAAAAATAATGACAGACAAACGTTACTACTAAATTGCACCAACAAACCTAACTTTGGGTACGAGGATTCAGCTGAAACACATTATCTGTCACGATGAAGACAAATGCATACCAATTGGTTAACTACCAATTTTTACTAATTAAACACCTATCAACATCTCCATTAGCTTTTCTCTCTCTTCACAATATAACACTTCACAAAAAAAAAAAAAAAAAAAAAAAAAGAGAAATATTGGTGGGGGCCGGGAGGAAATGACTCCAACATGCACTCAATTTGGCACGCTCGGTGATATTATATTGTATATAGTGGCAAAGAATCTTATATCTTTTGGTGCAACTATATAATATATGATTCCAATTTCGTGTATGTACGAATTAATATAATATTTTAGATAGATAGTGGAGTAGTAATGGGGTAGGATATATATAGGGGCCGGGCTGAATTATTATTTGCATTCATATGCTCCCACCCATATATCACATATTTATACACCCCACATTGCTCCCA